AAATTCCTCGTCATCGACCTTACGGACTTCTTCAGCCATTACCTATACCAGAACAACCATGGTCTTCTGTTTCTATGGATTTCATCACAGATCTTCCAAGCTCAAGATCTTATGATTCTATATTTGTGATAGTAGATCGTTTCACCAAGATGGCACACTTTGTGCTATGTACAAAATCTATCACAGGTGAAGAAACAGCTAAGCTTTTCATTGATAATATCTATCGCTATCATGGATTACCTAAAGATATCATATCGAATAGGGGAACTCAATTTGTATCAAGATTCTGGAGGACCCTTTTCAAGATTTTAAAAGTGGACATAAAGCTATCTTCGGCTTTCCATCCTCAAACTGATGGACAAACAGAGCGTGTAAACCAAGTCTTGGAGCAGTATTTAAGGTGTACTATCAACTACCAACAAGATGATTGGACAACCCTTTTGCCATTGGCAGAGTTTTCTTATAATAATATGGTACATTCTTCCATGCAACAAACACCTTTCTTTGCCAATTATGGCTATCATCCACGACTTGATACTTTTGATTTTTTAAAAGTTGATAATCCTGCAGCAGAAGATATGGCAAATCGGTTGTCAGAGTTACATACAATAATGAAGACGCAATTAAAGAAAGCTCAAGAACGACAAAAGATAAACACAGATCTATATCGTAAGGAGCAACCACAACTCAACGTGGGTGATAAGGTATGGCTACTTCGTCGCAATATCAAGACTACTCGACCTTGTGACAAGTTGGACTATCATAAGCTTGGCCCCTTTTCTGTTTCTGAACAGATCAACCGAGTTGCATATCGGTTACATCTACCGGAGTCAATGAAGATCCATCCTGTATTCCACGTGTCTTTTCTTGAACCATATAAGACAGTGGATATACAAAGAAGAAGACAAATGCCACCGCCTCCTATAGAAGTAGATAATAATGAAGAATTTGAGGTGGAAGAGATATTAGACTCAAGGCGGCGCCGAAATAAGATGGAATATCTTGTTCATTGGCGCGGATATGATATTAGTGAACGCACATGAGAGCCATCTAGGAATCTAGCAAACGCATCAGCTAAAGTCAAAGTTTTTCATCAACGACATCCATCGAAACCAAGATGAAAATCTCTCTTATAAAAGAGACAAGATTGAGGCAAGATAACATTCAATTTCCTATCTTTGTTTGTAACTTCTTTGCATTTGTGACGCTAATTAGATGGAGAGCCAACAACCAGCGGATTTAACTCAAGAACCTTCGTTTGCTAACCTGTCGGACGAGACATTACGATTGTCACAACCTTCAAGACGACGCAATCGAGATGAAGATCTTCAAGAACGACATGTTCTTCCTCGAATAGATGGTGAGATACAACGCGTTTGGTATCACGATTTGGGAAGGGACTCCCGATGTTTGGTGATTTTGCTAGAGGTAGGAACAACTCTTGATGGTGTTCCAAATATTCTATTCGAAGGAAGTTACGAAGGCCTCAACAATGATCAAATAACTGGGTGGTCTTTCCGCCCTGGTATGGGACACTACCGATGGTTGAGAGGCCCTATCAATCATCTTCGAAGAGAACAGAGATTAAAGTATGTGGCGAATACAATTCGTCGCATCATAGATTTCCTCAACATATGATGACCGCTCCTCGTGGAACTCGTCTCTAGAAGGGGGGGTAATGTCACGGCCATAATCATGTAAGCTAATAATTACATATAGAAATAGGTAGAAGTAAGTAAAAGTAGATAAAAGTAAGTTAATTCTATAATATTTAATATAGAAGCTTCCTAGAAACTTCCTAGATGCTGCTTTGACTTCATAGGTGTCTTTAATTGACTTTTTGGATTAAAAACGTGGTCAACAAGTTGGCCATGTGCCACACATGTTGTTAGCTTGAAGATCAAGCTAACTATGTGGCCCACACGTAGAAAAACTTGCCTTGTAAGTCAAGGCATGTGTCCTACAAAGTCAACACATATTGGAGGTCCTATAGAACGTCACCACGTAGCTCCTAGTTAGATAGTATATATAGAGACAAGAGTGAAGGCTTCTTCACTCTTGTCAACTCCTTTCTTGCTTCTACTCCAGGTTCAAGAGTCTTTAGTTTCTTGTCTTGTGGCAATAGCCATTCCAGTTTCCTTTTAATATATCTACTTGTTTATATTTTGACTTATTATATCGAGATAGCCTTTTTGTGTATATTTTCCCTCATCGAGTCTTTGTCCCTGACACTACGTGGCAATATCCTATAGGACCTCCAAAATATATTGACTTTGCAAGTCACATATCTTAATTTATAAGGCAATTTTTTTATATGTATGCTACATAATTAGCCTATTTTGTAAGCTATCAATATGTGATTAACTTGTTGACCAAGTTTCTATCCTATTAATCAAGTACAAATACATATAAAGTCGAAAGAGCATATATGAAGCTTGTAGGAAGCTTATCTAAAAAGTATTATAAAATAAATTTACTTTTACTTACTTCTACTTGATTACATAAGTAAATATCAGAATAAATATGTATATTCATGATACATACTCACAATGGTTGGATCCATGTACATACTTTGTTCTTTAGAAGAAACTCTACTAGAAGCTCAATTTAAAGCTCCTCCCATAACTCCTTCAAAATTCTTATTCTTCTTCTCTATTAAATAAAAATAAAAATAAAATAAAAAACTCCAAGACCTCCCACCACAAGCTTTTATGTTAGGTTCACCACTTATATTGTATTATGTGTGTTCTTGCTTGAGAATGCACCGGGCACCTAGCTGTAGAAATCCAACAACAATTCTACCAAGTAATCTTTAATAATTCTAATCAAACTTTAATCGATTCAAAATAAATTAAAAAAAATTTACAAAAGAAATACAAAGAAGTCCTATATTAATCTCAATATATATATATATATACATATATATTTTTTAAAAATCTTTTAAAAAAATAATAAAATTTTAAAATATATATATAAAAATAACCTTTAATGAAATAAGAATAATCTTAAAAAATACCAAAAATTGAAACTTTTAAAGAAAAAATAAAAAATATTAAAGAAATATTTTAAATAAAAATTTTAAGTAAATCATAATCAAATCCTAATATAATCTTAACTAAAAGCCTAATGAATCTTAAGAAAATTTTTAAATAAAATCCTTATGAATCCCTAATAAAATCCTAAATTCTACACCAATTCTAATAAACTCTAGTAAAATTCTAATCAAATTCTAGAAAAATCTTAATCAAATCCTCAATCCTAAATTAATCCTAATCAATCTTTAATAATATCCTAAATCTTAAATAAAATTCTTAATAATCCTATAGCACATTAAAATTTCAATAACTAATTATTGAATCATTGATTTTGACTCAAATTTTGCATATATCATAAAAATTAAGTTAGCAACAAGTACAAAACTTTTAAAGAAGATTGCACAAACCCAATAAATGATAAATCCTAAAATTTACTTAAGTATTGGCTAGCTTCCTTTTCTAATCTTGATGCCAATCTTCTTAAGTCAAAATCTCTTGATTCTATTATTAAACACTTTTCAAAATTCACATATGTATTAAAAATCAAGTCTATTATCCATACATGTAAATTTCACCTCAATCCAATTAGCAATTTTTTAAAGATTTTAAAAACCCTCACTAATGCTCAATACCTCATTTCTAAGATACTAACCCACTTGAACTTCAATAACCTTCTATCTAACCATTTAATCATGCTCAAATTTATAGCACTCAATAAAACATTTAAAAAAAATTTAAAAAAAAAACTATAATCACAAATCTACAAATTTTTATCTATAGATCTATTATCAAACTCACAAAATTCTTTCAAATATAAACCATTTTTTATTTTACAAAATCAAATTCAACAAAAATTATCCTAACTTTGCAAAGCTCTTACAAAGTTATTACAAATTCAAATCACTTAAATCCAATGCTCAAAGAAATCCTATAAATTCTTCTCTCAAATTCTATCCTTTAATTTGCAAATTTGATAATTTGATATAAGTTTTGCTTTAATCTATTGTTAATTCTTTCCTAAATATGATTATATTAATTTCTTATCTCATTTACTTTGATTTGGCTCATTTATGCATCTACAAAGTAAATAGAAATCCCTTCTACAAAAGGTAGCATCAAGACTAAACATTTTACTACGTTTTAAAATTTATCATTGTTTTTCTACTACAGCTTTCTATTAGGTTCTCCTATAATAACATCCATATTTTTATTTTTCACCATATAGTTGTGTTAGAACATGATAATGCATAACCTGAATTTGAATTCTGAGGGCTTGAAATATTTTGAGATTTTAATCTGTCCCAAAATAAGAATTGTTGCTGTCTTCCTTAGCAAGAGATGAAAGACCTGTCTGGTTGAGGGCAACAATGGGGCTTCAAACAATTGTATGTCTGGAGTCAAGGTGCAGCATTCTTCATCTTTCACTTCAATAAGCTCAGAAATTAAATTAGAAAAAAGGTCATAAATTACATAAATTACCTGAGGACTTGAAGAGGAGTTCCAGTACTGTGGTGTGCCTTGTTAGGGAGGGTACTATGATACCACTATACCAGCTGAGCGTTAAGAAGTAGCCAAATCGTATACCAACCCAAAACACAGCATCTCCTCTCTAATGATGCGTGCGCATTGATCCATTAACATTGCATCCATCTCTAGGAAGTGCACCTGGAATCATGTGCTAATGCTAAACTTTCTGTAAAGCAACTCATGAATTTTGGTGCAATCAAATCCAGCTAAAGCTGCCCTGCAGGAAGGAAATCTAGAGGCTTTGGATGTCGAAATGGTATTTTATTGATTCAGTAACACCAGAAGCACTCAGTGTTACCATGTGGAATCTAATACACAAATGATTAGTGCTCCGAAAAGTCTCATGTTTATACTACTCATGTGCTATATTTAGTTCAACCTAAGTCACGTCAGCCCTAGCAGAGATCGGAACATGATTATTCTAACACCCTCCCTTAATCATGTTGCCGATTGGTTCTTTGATAGAGGCTTGGGTTAAGAGTATGTGCGCAATGTGAGTCGTCAGGACAAGGAGGAGCTGTCTATTGTTCTTGTCGAGAGACGGTCTTTTTTTCCTGTTTGTTCGATTGTGATTTTGCGTTGGTGGAAGCAGTAGTGTCTTTGTAAATGAGTGGTTGGACTCCTAGCCGAATTCTGCAAGCCTCAAAGTTTAAATGCCTTGGTTAATATATCAGCATGTTGCTCTGTTGATGATATGTGTATTACCTCAATTTCTCCTATTTCCCATTTCTAGAGAAGTGATAGTGCATTTCGAAATGTTTAGTTCGATCATGGAACACAAGATTTTGAACAAGTTTAATGCTGCTTTGGTTGTCAACGTGAAGTGGAGTAGAAAGATTGCGAATTACTCCCAGTTCTGTGAGTAGCTGCCGTAGCCAGATTTGATGTCGTAACCAACAAGAGCACATCAGTGTGCATGTGCGGTGAGCTTGGTGCAGTCAGTAGCGGGAATGTGGATGTAGATGACACACCCGATGGTGGGTAGATAGGTGAGATCAGGCTTCTTTTCGAAAAGGAGTTCATGAGGAGAAGAAAGGGGAGTAGACTTACTAGGGATCCGATCTTGGACGTAGCAGGCAGTGTGAAGTAATTCTCTATAAAAATTCTGGTAGGTGGCTGGAGAGGGAGAGGGTGCGGCTCATTTCTAGGAGGGCCAATTACGCCTCTTCGCCACCCCATTGTATTGTGGAGTGCCGGCTTGGGTGAGCTGCCGTGTTATCTCATGATGTTGACAGAAGCGATTGAAGGGGAGGGAAGTAAATTCACCTCCGCGATCGGAGCAGAGGCATGAGATATAGAGGCCGAGCTGTTTTTCAACGGTGTTTTTAAAGCTTGAAAAAATATTGAAAGTTTCTGATTTCTACTTGAGAAGGTATGTCCACATGTGCCGTGAGTAATCATCGACATAGAGTGCAAAATATTTGGCTCCGGTGGATGTGGATGTGCAAAAAGGCCCACATAAGTCTGCGTGAATGAGTTGCAGGAGGCGGGACGCTCTTGTGTAGCTCAATTTCGGAAATTTTAGTCTGTGTTGTTTCCCAAGGAGGCAGCTGTCACATGTAAGTGCGGTTTTTGGGAGGCATGGAAGGCCTATGATAATTCGGGAAGTAGAGAGAGAGGAGAGTTTATTGTGGTGTTTATGCCCGAGCCTTAAGTGCCAGAATTTTAGTTCGTCGAGTGAGGTCTTAAGATTCTGTTGAGTAAAAATGGTAGATCGTGAAGATGGTTCTGCAGAAACAGAGTTGATAAGCTCGGCCGTCGCTGGGATGAGGCGTTATAGATCAGAATTGTGACGACGTTCTGCTTGAGCAAAGATCTCTCCTCTTTCCTGATTAATTAACTAGCAGCATCTAGATGCAAACACATGAATGAATCCTTAGTCACAGATTTTTCCGACGAAGAGTAGGTTATCAACAAGAGAAGAAACATACCAAACATTATCGATATATTTGTTTGGGCCATGAGGGGAGATGTTGGCTCGGCCCTTGCTATGTACACGGTGGTGCTGCCCTCCTACTGAGCGGACCGTCCTAGTCAATGGTTCTGGTTCTACTGAATCTAGGAGGTGCGAGGAACCGGTGACGTGAAAAGTGGCATCGGAGTCGAGGCACCAAGTCTGATTGTGAGCGGCAGTTTGAAGTGATAGGGCTTGTCCGAAAGAGTTCGAAGCCATCAAGGAGATCAAGGGGTGGGGTCGGGTACAGATTCCGAGTTGTCGATGTCGGAATCTGCGTAGAGACTATGTGCACAATCGGTGGAGGCTCTGGATCGAAGGTCTTGAAGGCGGACAGTAAGACGTTTAGGCGTTCTTCAATTTTGTAAATTGAACATTTCGGGTCCATTGGTTGTGGGCGCCACAGTGGACCCGAAATGCAAACACATAATTGCCATTGATCGGATGACAACTGCTACGGACAGCGAGAGCAACCTCGGAGTGTCGATTAGATTCTTCTATGGGGAGGCAAGATTCTTCGCCTAGGAGAAAGGATTCTAGCTCGTGGAGGGTGAGAGGTCTTTGTTGAGTCATGAGCGACTGTACGTACCTGGAGTTTTGTTGCGGTAGTGCATTGAGGACTAGGGTTGCTACGCAATCGATCTAGTCTACTTGAGCTTGTGTAAGCTTGTCAACTAGGTCTTTGATGCTTCAAAGAAACTCTTTCATGCTGCCCTCCGGAGATAGTCGTGTGTTGAATAGTTGATTCAGAAGATCGTTCTTGCGGGATTGGTTAGTGGAAACCATGAGCGACTTCAGCATTTTCCACAGGGAGTGGGAATTGCATTCCGCTTTTATTTCGGTGAACGAGCTGAGATGCATGGAGGGGTAAGAATTATCAGAGTTCGTTGACGGTTGCTCCTTTCTTTCGGTGATTGCCTTTCAATAGGAGGTGGTTCTTCTTCGACGTAATGCCACAGGCCCTCCCTCTTCAAGACCTGCTCTATAATAAAGCTCCAGACGCTATAGTTTTCCTCTCTTGTGAGTCAACACTCAACAGGGATAAGATTGGCATCGCTGGCCATGGTGCGATGAAAGGATGAGTGAGGGTAGACTGTCACCTATGGTGGATCTTGCGATGTCGACTCGGGTGGTGGAGTGATTGTGGTGGTGATGGATGAGGCTGGCTCTAAGCCTTCTGAGTCCGAGCTCATGCCGAGAGATGCTCGGAGAGGCAGAGGCCCAGAGGAAATAGCTCTAATACCATGTCAAAATGATATTGTATTGATTCAGTGACACCAGAAGCTCTCGATGTTACCATGTGGAATCTCATACCCAGATGATTGGTGCTCCGAGGTGTCTCATGTAAACATGAGATTCTTCCTCCTTTGCCTCACTCTTGATCAGAAACAGAAGCTGATCACATGAGAACCAATGATACTAATCACTTCACAAAGAGGCACCATTTCCATTCATGAATATATCATTACTTTTTTTTTAATATGAAAGTGTATGCATGATTTTATATATATATATATATATATATGTACATACATAGAGATATGTGTGTGTGTGGGTGTGTATGTATGGTATAATGTAATGCAAATGTTCATATTTCATTTTAAAAGGAAAATAACAGAGTTTTTGTAACATAAACTTCTATTCATAAATTTTCATGAATCATAAAAGTATATGTTATAAATTTTATAACATTGGATGCACTTAAAATTGTTGGTTGTTTTTTTTATTTTTTTATATATGATTTACAAAGAAATGAACTGTCAAAGACTTTTAAATTTTTGATACTTTCCACTTTCTACTTGATGAACCATTTTAAAATGAAACTACAAATGGAAAAAACAGACTTATTTGTATTGAAGCATCACTTCCAATGACCTCTGTACAATCATGGATTAATGAAAATGGCAATGCCTGTATTACAGTTTTTCTTATTTGTGATAAGATTACTGACAAGAAAAACTAATTTTGGGATGTTATTAATTTGATATTTCTATACTAAGAATGATCTTAAAGCCATTATGTAGAGACATACAGTTATTATGTTAATAAACAATACCATGTCAAAATTTCTAAATCTTGTTAGATTTATATATGAGGTGATAGTATTTTAAAGCTTTAATATATCATTAAAACCTCATATTTAATTTTTAGTAACTTAAAATAAAGGAATTTTAAAATTATAATATAAAGTAATTTTGCATGTCAATTTGATATTAATATTAATCTTTTTTGTTGATTATATATCACATTTGTTAAATTTTAAAAGTCAAATTAGATTTATATATATATATATATATATATATATATATATTAAAAAATATTTAAAATTTTGACTTTATTTTTTAATATTTTTTGTAATAAATTGAATTAATTAATGTTCTTTTATTTATTTTTTTCTAAAAATACATATATATATATATATATATATATATATATGAGTGTGTTTATTGTTTAAAATTACAAACAAATATATTGTAATTTGTGTAAATTATGTAAAGTGAAACTAAGTCAAAATTAATTATGATCAAAATCTGTAGCTTAAGATATAAAAATTTATCAATAATTCTAAACATATATACTCATGAATATTCAATTATATTAACTTGTAAAAACCTTCCAAAATCTTCAATATTTCTTGGTAACCTTCATAATCCTTTAAAATCTTTTCTATGACATTCTATAGCTTTTACTAAGAATCTTTGGCTTCCTTAGGGTTTTGTATTATCTTCCAAGAATATCTGCTAATTTCAAAAGATGTATCCAAACAAATCCACAATTTTCTAAAATAATTGGTTGTCCTCCATAAGTTTCAGAAAAATAATGCATAGAATTTAGATGCTATATCATAAATAGATAAATAAATAAAAGATTGAGGTATAACTTGGTCTTGTTAATAAAATTTATGAAATAAGTCATGGTACAATTTATTTTATTTTTATTTTATTTGTAAAAATATCAATTTAGTTCATTATTTTTAATACTTGTATATATCCTTTATTAGATTATAGTGTCTCAGATAAATATCAAGTTTTTTAAAAAATATTAAGAAAAATAAAAAAATATATATATATTAATTATTAATTGTAAAATATGAAAAATTATAAACATCACTATTATAAGTTGGATCTCAATTGGAATAATCTTTATAAAATTTTATAGATTAGGGTCTAAGATAGTCATAGTTGTGTCATCCTTTTATATGAGAAGGTGTTAGAGTAGGAGAATAGATAAGTAATAGTTTTAATAGAAAATTGAGAAGCCAATATTTGAGAACCAATATAAAAACCTTGAGAAAGTGAAACTAATTAAAGACTTGAAAGAAGATGTAGCATAATTTTGGCAAAATAATACACGAGAGCATCAAAGAAGGCCTTAACAGCCGTAGACTGTACCTAAAACTACCCTCTAAAGTTGTCTACATTTATTTATATCTATATATATATATATATATATATATATAAGCAAATAAGACAAATTTTATTAAAGTAAGTATATTTTGATATTAAAAGATTAACATTTATATGTCAACAACTTTGTAATTTATTAGTTAGCTATTGGTCCACTTTGTTTTTCTTGGAATATTTTCTGATGCACATTCTTTACCTCTTACATATGTAATCATGTAAAATACTGCATAGCTACTCCTATACACTCTGTAAGTACTCACTTTTATTGAAGATTAATAATTCGGTTTTCACATCAAAAATGTGGAAACCAACTGTTTGTTTTAACTTTTGTGTAGGAAAATTTCCAAATCAACTTGCACACGAATGCTAATTAAATGTCTTTCACTCGACTAATCTTCAACAGCATGTTTCTTCCTACACATGAAGAATGCACAATAATATTGCATTTCATAGCTTCCTGTGTGTGTTTGTTTTTCTTATGGGAATAACAAAAGATTTATCATTTGCCTCAGTGTGCAACAAGCTTAAAACCTCAGAACAAAAACTTCAAACTCCTTGCCATCTTCTGTACGTATCCTTTGATTGCTTAAGGTCATCGTCGACCCAAAATCTGGACTTTTTATCTTTTTCTGAAATGTGTTTTTTGCAGGATCTGCTGGCAAATTGTTTAGAAAAAGCCCAGAAAATAACCCTCAGCTCAGATGTCGTGTTCGGTCCGAGAACCAAGTGTGTGTGTGGCTCTCCGCAAACCATTCGAACCTCGGAACAAGATTGCGAGCTTTGGCGTTGTGCATCCCTATCGCATGAAGAGTCAAAGAGAGGGTGACTTTCCACCGAACAAAAAGGCATTATTGTTTTGCACATGGTGTCAACAGTGAACCCTATTTAATTTGGTCGTAGAAAAGAAAAGTATCATTAAACATCATCACCTTGAACACGTCTCATGGTTATTACCCTAATCTGTTGTGAACAGGGATATTCCTGATCCCCCTGACACTGACACACCGCAAAAACAAGTTTTGCATGGGCAGATGCTATTGATTTCCGCCCATTCACTGCCCAGTTCATTTCACCAGTTTCTATTTAAGAATCCACTCCATCCATGCGGAATCCGCTTACCTTTTCTCCCGCATAATTTGGCCGACACAGCACTATTCACACCCGCACACACATATTCAATCGTTTCGTTGCAAAAACCTTGGAAGACGACAACAATTACTCTTCCATTTTCACATTTTGTTTTGTTTTGTTTTTTTTTTTTTTAATGTATAAGATAGAAGGTCAGACATTTCCAACTTCGAACGTTATTTCTAAGGAAGTGTCTTGTGGGATAAGCTGGAACAGACTACGACACACTCCAACACAAGGCCGAAATCTAGTATATGAGAGGCTCCAGACCCAGTACTGTAAGGCCATGGCCACGTCGACATTGGCAAAGGGTCCCACATCCTCCACGTGGGGGACTCGCCACGGTGGCCTTTGGGAGACATCGAACGGTGATAGGGGACCGGATCTCAGGCGGGTATAGAATCTACAGAGAATGTTCGTCGTCGTCGTCGTCGTCACGATACTCTCGTCGGATGTGCTCTACCTGGTCGATGCCTAGATAGTAGTAGTTGAAGTATTCGAATTCGGTGTAGAGTTGCGATCCTTGCTCACTGCAAAATCTTGTTGTCTTGACCACTGGTTGCGGTGTGTGTACAATTCGCTGGGCTTCCGACGGTGGTGATTGTGAGCACGATGTCATGTACGCTGCAGTGTTTGACTCTGGTGTTGCGTGTCGGGAGCTCGCTAATTATGGATTGAGATGAGGTTGAGTGTCGTGGAAATGTATACATGGAAATATAATAAGAAGTGTTAATTTGGGCTAGCGTTTTGGTTCGTTTAGGAGGAGGAGGAGGAGGCGATTCTGTATTTGTAGGGCAGGTGATCGAGATTTGGTGAGATAGTGAGCGGGAGAGTGAAGTGATTTGAGGTGTGGCGTCTTGGATAGCTGGGTTGACAATGCGGTGCTGGAGAGACGCTGTTGTTTCGTGGGGTAGTCGTTGAATCATTGACGAAACTTGGGAGCAGCCGATCAGTGTACTGTCGAGGTTTCGACACTTTTCTTGATGAGGGATCGAGCATCACAGAGCGTGCCGGTCATTCATTTCTGCAATGTTTCTTTATTTTGTATGTTGCAAGCGGTTTGTTTTGACCTCTAATTGGGGAATGATAAGGACTTGAAATGATTTGGATTTCCGATGATCACCTGCTATTTGTGTTTGAATGACCTGGCTCATCTCGCGAGAGTATAAATTGATATCCCTGATTGCTACTGTAAATTGTGGCTTTGAGTAAGTTCATTAGCGGAAAATCGTCTAAATTTAGATTAGGGAGACGCACAGTATAGGGCGATGTCGACATGCGTAACGTGTTTGCGGGCCATTCGGGAGCTGTCCAGGAACGCTTACGTGTGTTATGGTTTGTTACTTTTTTGGGCCTTTTGTATACGATAAGTACCTTCCTGCGCACAGTAGGAATGGAGAATGTGTATCGAGGGCTTTGAATTCAAAGGAAGGTTGAAGGCATTGTTCTTCCGCCAAAATGTCTTCTCGTCTGCTGTAGGGATCGCGGATACCATCTGTTCTGCCTTTCTTGTATGTGACGAGATTATGTGATTTGATTTCTGCGCCTGTCTTGTCGGACTAATTCGCTTCCTAACTGTGGGTTTCGGTTGAAATGAACAAAAATGAGTCCTGCAATAATCGTGCGAGACCGATTGTTTTAATTGAAGACCTCATGCATTGTCGTAGAACCTGAGATTTACATTCTCGAATAATTAATGTAGGTGTGGACAAATATGTATGAGTTCTAGACAGGTGGTTCTTTTGATGCACCAATGATTGAATCAATTTGAACCCCTTCGACTAAAGTCTCTTTGCACGCGAAGTTATTTTCAAATGCTCATTGCCAGTAGTTAATAGCTGGTAACCGATTTGAGAAGTAATAGCTCCTAGAACGAGTGAGCTCTTGTCTTTCAGCTTTTAATCTCTCGAGCTTTGTTACATATTTCTGTAGTGTTCAGTCGGGAACGGAGTCTGTTTTGCGAGTTTGCCACCCATTGCTGTTGCTGTGAATCTTCAGAGGTGTAGAGAATTTTCGTACGTGGGTCCATTGACGTATGTGATAAGCGGATTTCTTATGAAAAGTAGCCCGCATGTGGACTTTTCTTGCTCATCTACTGTGTTCCACTGTGTCAGCTATTTGATAATTTTTCAAGTCACTTTGTTATTTTTACCTTCATGCTTGCATTACTGTGCGTATTGATTTCAATTCATGTTGGTTGCAGGTATTAGCAAAGGATTAGCGTTTCTTGTGGTGTAGAATGTGCGTGATGTTGTGAGATTGGGAAGAATTTTCTCTCGTCGTTTCATTATCACTTGTGAATGGAGAGGAACTGTCGGGTTGAATTAGCCAACTGTAAGGATCATCGTCTCAAGTAAAGCTTTAAGACTCTGCAAATTGAAACGAGGTTTTATGGGGATAGATAAAAAGCATTGCTTTAGAGCTGGTGTGAAGGTTTGACGAGACTTAGAATCTCACGCCGAGGACCAAAGTTGGAGTGTGTGTCGCCAGTCATGACAACGAACACTGAGCCTCTTCTGCGTCCTAGAAATTCGAATGGAATCGGCAACAACACCTCAGGAGCATTTAGAAGAAATGATGATGATGAGGATAGGGCGTATGAAAAATCGGAACAAGTCAAAGTCCATTTTGGTGATGAGCTGGATACTGATGAAGAAGGAGGAGATTTAGACTTTCTACCAAAATTTTCATGGCGAAAGCTATGGATGTTTGCCGGACCTGGATTTTTAATGAGCATTGCATACCTTGACCCTGGAAACATTGAGAGTGACCTTCAATCAGGGGCAACGGCAGGATACGCCCTTCTGTGGTTATTGATGTGGGCTACGATTATGGGATTTCTCATCCAAAAACTTGCTGCGAGGCTTGGAGTTGCGACAGGTTGTCACTTGGCTGAGCTCTGTAGAGAAGAATATCCCTTTTGGGCCCGTATGGTTCTTTGGGTCTTGACAGAGCTTGCTATTATCGGAGCTGATGTTCAACAAGTCATCGGAAGCGCTATTGCCTTCAGGATCCTTTCAAACGGCGTGATTCCCTTGTGGGCTGGTGTGCTGATAACTGGTATTGATGGGTATGGTTATGTTTTCCAATTTTTTAATCGCGCACTCGTTACGTTTGGTGTAAATTTATCGGTTACTAAAACTAGTTCTTCTAATTATCAACTAATAGAAGTGAATGTAGTGGTGTAGGCACATGTATGGAACCCGTTTATTGAACAAGTTAGTTAGCATATTTGTTAGCATGTCGTTTGCCGATTCGGTTATGTTCTGGCAATTTCATGAAAGGGCGAAGGTTAATTTTTGAGGGTCTTCCCAGGTTCCTGTTTCTGTTTTTGGAGAACTATGGCGTTAGAAAACTGGAGCTTTTATTCTGTATATTCATTGGGATAATGGGACTTTCATTTGCCTGGATGTTTGGTGAGACCAATCCAAATGTCAAAGCTGTTGCCACTGGTACGCTATCATCGTTCCTCAACTGTGCTAATTTCTAATTTATATCCTTCTAGTCTTAGCTACTTACTGTCATTCGTACTATTATCGAATATCACCCGTGTTGGATGTGCTGACACCCGGGCGGTTGCCTTGCAGGACTTATTTTTCCGACTGTCCCCAGTTCGGCAGTGGATAAAGCTGTTGGAATTGTCGGTGCTGTCATCATGCCACACAACATATTTCTGCATTCTGCTCTTGTCCAATCTCGCGACATAGACACCTCCAAGAAAAGTCGCGTGCGTGAAGCTCTCAGATATTACAACATAGAGTCGGCATTTGCTCTTTTTGTTTCCTTCTTGATCAACCTTTGCGTCATGGCCATTTTCGCGAAGGCTTTCTACGGGAAGGAAGAAGCGGAAATCATTGGCCTTGCAAATGCTGGAGAGTACCTCCAAGAGAGATATGGTGGTGGTATGTTCCCAATTCTCTACATCTGGGCAATTGGGTTGCTAGCTGCTGGTCAGAGCAGTACTATGACAGGCACATATACTGGTAAGCAATCGAATTTTACTTCCTGTGCCGAAAACTATAGACCAGTCAGTAATGAGCTGTTATTAACATTGTGGCTGCGCTCTGGATTTATGTATGACATCCGAAGTTAGTTTTCTCTGGAGTTGTTATATAACTCGAATTAGTCACAAGTGGTTCAATCACATGCCCAATACTCGAAAGGTTTACGTGGTCTTATTGCTGTGGAAATTCTATCATCATCATCAAAGATGTACCACTGCCAATCGGAATAACAACTCGGATTAGAGGTGTCTCAGAATACGTGGAATTCATAGGCCTTCTTTGTGTGGCAGGTCAATTCGTTATGGCTGGCTTCCTCAACTTGCGCGTGAAGAAGTGGATTCGAGTGTTAGTTACACGATCTGTCGCTATTGTTCCGACTGTCATTGTAGCTCTTGCCTTCGATAGCTCACAGAACGAGCTGGATAATCTAAGCGAATGGCTAAATGTGCTGCAATCCGTTCAGCTGCCATTTGCCCTCCTCCCATTATTATGTTTGGTTTCCAACGCAAGAATTATGGGTGTGTTCGTTATCAGCAAAACTACCAAGGTACCTTTTGACTTGGATACTTGGACACTGATTACTTTTGTTAGCATTTGTTATGAACTGCAGCTGCTATTTCCGTGTTGAGCATGAATAGTCGAATTGGTTGATTGGCTCCAACTTGAATTTGTTGTACAGCATATGTTCTCTTTCGCAGCATCAAACTACCAGCACTTGTCTTGGCATGCTCGATCTTAGTGGTGCATGCTTAGTTGAGCGGATATTCACTTGTCTCGAATTTAACATGTAGGTGGTTATGATTGCAGGTGGTAGCTTGGATCATCGCACTCTTAGTGATGGCAATTAACATGGACTTGTGGTTTGCGTTTGTATTCGGCAGTACCTTCTCGTCTGTATTTTCAATTTTGGTATTCGTAGTGATCTCTGTTCTATACATCGCCTTCGTAATTTATTTGGTTCTGGAACCTTCGCAACCGGATGGTAATTGGGCGAACATCAAGCAGATTTTTGTTTCATCTAGGTCAGTCATCTCTCTCCTGTACTTCACTCTTTTCACAAGTTGAGACAGATGCTGTTTGTGAACGGAACGATTGAAAGTCGTTTGTGCATGCAGGTCGGACGACGGTTTAAGGTGATTTGTCTCATCGAAGATTGGTGGGCTTACAAATTTAGTACAAAGTATTGAGATGTCGTAGTCCAGAAGATCTGGTATGAAGCAAGAATGATTGTATTAATGCTTGATATTTTGTTATCATGTTTGAGGGAGAAGAAGCTATGTACAATCTTTGTACATCTATGGCACATGCATTGACATAGATTCTCGCACAAAGTGGCTACCCATCACCAGATTTTGTAAACTATTTTCGGGAGAATTCTTTTCCGAAGTAAACCCTGCAAAATCGACTGTGTGCATGCTTTGAGGATTCTTTGCTAATAATTCACATTTTTGTACGACGAAGTAATTTTCCGTTCCTGGGAAAGATGAAATCATTACTCTGATCTTCTCAGCCGTAATCGAAGAATCCAATTTGGTTTCTGTTGATAATAAAATGCAGTAGCCGTCTGAATTGTGCCTTGTGATGTACTGTGTAAAAGATGGTTCTGGAGATAAGAATGGAATTCACTTGGAAGTAGTTCTATATGTTGGAAGAAGTCTCATTTTAGAAGTACACTTCATATTGGATAGTTAGAATGTGCTATGTTTCATCACTATAATCTGCTTATAACTAGTTTCAAAAGAAAGAGGAATGCATACAGCATATTTCTACTGTTCCGTTTATCATAAACTTCATTATGAATTCTAGTATTATCTTTTGTTGCTGTTTTGACATAATAGAAAAGATTCACTTCAATACAAAATATTTTACATACAAACTTTTTGTGCTGCTTAAACACGCATAAGTTTTTTAAATGTAATATTAAATATTTGCAAGGCATGAGAATATTAGAATTTTGAATAAAATTGTAGCTAGTATTCATTTCTATAATTCATATTTAATGAATTTCACAGGAATTATTGGTAGCATCTTATATTTTGAAACAATAAAAAAATATTTAGGAGAAGAGACAATGTAATGGTAGTAGTCGCAAAGATGCTCAATAAAATAAAATATAAAAAGAACATGATAAAAGTGGGTAATATAGTGGTACTTGATGGCCATATGGTAGCAAAGAGCAAAGATAGGGTACTTGAAACAATATGGTAGCCTATGGAAGGAATGAAGAGAGAATAAGAAGATGGATGATATTAAGGAATTAGACTCATTTTTTAATAGGATTATACCTAAGAGAGAGGTCCTTGACCAAGAAATAAGTAACTTAATAGAAATTGGATGGTGAGCACAAGCAAAGAAAGAATTAGAGGTTGATAAAGGATTAATTTCAAAAACATATATTAAAGATTTAATCTCATAATACTCCTTCAAGTTATTTGATTTTTCATCTTTTATTCCAATTGATTTAAATATTCTTACATGATTGGCACATCAAGAGAGATTCATTGCTACTTGGATCTCAAGAGAGTAAAATGCCATGAGAAGAACTCTATAATTTGATTAAAATTCATGAAAACAAAAAAAGAGCTCTAAATTCTTCTTAAAGAAACAAAATAAATGCATATATTCAAGGAGGAAAAAAAAGAATTTGGTCATTTTATATCTAATCTTAAGATCTTTTGCAAGACGTAACATGATCTAAAGAAGTGAAGAAAGAGTTGCAAGTCTATTAAGAAAAAATTTAAAAATATTTCTTGTGTTAAAAGTTCTAAAATCCTTTGTATAAGATTTTCTTCAACAAGTTAGGACTAATATGCCAATAAAATTTTAAAAGATAAAAAAATAAAAGATTATATTATATAAATAACATTAATAAAGTTATTTTTAATAATAAAACTCATAAAATATTCATAATTAAAAATAATAATAATAATAATAATAATTTTTTCTTTGTAATCAAGTCTTATCATTAGAATATTAGATTGTCAAATTGAAGGATCTTCATAGAATATCAAGACCTCAAACATAAGTTTTTTTTGTTGATTTTTTTTTTTTTTAGCACATAGATGTTATTAAGATTAAATATGATTTTTTTAGCATTAGATGTAACCTTGATATGACAACTAATTTATACTATGGCAAATTGCCAAGTAGACAAAAGATTTTATTAATATGATCTATAGAAAGAAATAAAATTGACCTCTTGGCCTTCACACTAGAGACAAATGGCTAAAAAATATTTTGGTTGAAAGGATTGACATAGAAGTATTTTATAGTAGTTTTGGCACCAAAGAGTTGTCTTCTCAAAAAGAAATTGGATTAGATAGGAATAGAAATAAGTTTTCTAATTTAGCAAATATGTATTTTTTTTTTATTAAAATATTTTAAAATTGACAAGTAGTCATATTTATTATAATTTAATTGACTTCTACATTGGTCTTTTGCCTAATTTCAAGTTTAATTTTTCAACATTTGCTTTGTCAGATTGCCATAGTATGAAGTGATCTTAAATATTTTTGGTATAAAACTCTTCAAGAAGATACTTAAGCCTTAATTATACTATTATAAGTTAATAACATTAAACTTGGAATATAAGACTTTTTTTTTAAAAAAAATAAATTTTAATCAACTTACAAGAATAAGTTTAAAATTTACTTTTCAAAATTTTCAAAATTTTAGTTTTGTTGTTGGTTGAATGAATCAAAACATCTATTGAGTTGAAATAAAAGGATTGCATATATTATAATAATATTAAAATAATGATAATAATAAAAATAAATTTTAAAACTAAAAAAAACCATATTATTGAAGTTCTTTGTGGATTCTTATGCTAAAATAAGAGGTGGTTTTACAAACATATATAAAGTACCTTCAATAAAAATAAAAAATAGTTTAAAAACTTTTGGAATCTTAAACCACTTTGTAAATGTTTAAAAATCCTTAGAACCTTTTAAATCACTATATAAGTTTTTATAGTTGTCTAAAAGCTCTCAAATACCTTTATAGTCTCTTTGAAACTTCTATAGTTATTATAACCACCTCAAATCTTTCTTAGTACAATAAAAGTTTTAATAAAATATTATTTAATTTTATATTATATTACATAGATTTTATAATATCTTCTAAAAACATGTAGAAACTAGAGATTATACAATACATGTGGCAGTGAGACAAAGACGCCTTATTGATGCCAATAAAAGTTTTAGAATAATCCAAGTATTACCTTCTTCCAAATCTTTTAATTATTCTTATTTTTAATATATTATCTTAAATTATTTTATTTTTTTCTTTAAGTTCTTTCACCTTATATTCTTAACACATACTTATAAATAGCTCTAAAAAAAATTAGATCTTTGTTTCAATATTTAATCATTTTTTTACTTCGAAGAATCTAATAACATTATTATATTGCATAGATATAAACTCATCGCAAAAAATAAAAATTTTTAAAAGAAGAAATATCACTATGGATTATATTTATAAAATAAATCCTATGAATTTTTATTCTTTTATTTTTATATTTGTAAATTTTAATACTTTGAAAAAACGAAATTTAAATTTTTGGTCCTTTTTACTACTATAACTTTAAAATATTCTTGTAATACTATATAATATTTTAGTTTCAGCACTATTTAAGATTATTAGTTTTTTAAAGTTATATGATATGTTATAATATATTATATGATAAGATTAAATCAAATATTTAAACATATATATATATATATATATATATATATATATATATATAATAAATAACACAAACAAACAATAACTATTGTTCATTTCGATCTTTGTTTTATCAACTACATTATTACTTGAAAAATCTACTTTTATATTATTTGAATTTTTGAAATTTTTATTTTAAATTCAAATAGATTTAATTTGGAAATCCATCTGATAGTTTCAAAGGTAGAAAAAGTTACTATTTTACTCTAAAGCCAAATAAAGGCACTAATACTTTTTCTTCAAATAGTCTTTATTGTTATTGTCATCTTAAAAGGTTTGCAATACTACTTAGAGTTAATCTCTTAAAAATTATATATTAAATCCAATGTTCCTAAAATATTAGTTTATAGATTTTATTTTATTTTAAATGTATCATAGAAATATTCTAAATTACATGTGATTTTTTTTTAATTATTTTATTAAAATAAAATTAAAAAAAAAAACTTAATATGGTCAAATACAAACACAATATACATGGTGAATTAACTAGGGGCTACTAAGATGTTGAGATTTTTTGCAAGCTTATCAATAAAGATCTTCCAAATTCTAACCAATCAATGTATTTATATGTGCTTAAATAATAATACCAATAATATATATATATATATATATATATATATACTAGAAATGCCATTTAAAATATATATATATAAATATATATATATATATATATATATATATATACTAGAAATGCCATTTAAATATATATATATATATATATATATTCTAAATTTCTGTGTCTTGAAAATAACAAAAATGCTATTTTTATGCTTCTTGTACAAACAATGATAGTACTAATAAATATTTTTTGATAATTACACAATTACCACTGTAAAGATAAATAATTCAATATTTTTTTGATAAATTATATTTAAAAATAATTATACTTGCAAATTCAATATCATAAAGAATAATTATGTTTTTTAACCTTGAACTTAAAAAAATCATTTTATTAACAATTATTTGTAACACTCTAACATTCTAAAGTTTTATTCATCCCAAAATAATAAATTATATTCATTTGAAATACTTATGTGTGTATGTGTATATATATATATATATATATATTCAATCTAGTAACAATCATTAATACATAAAAAGACAAAAGAAGAAAAGAATATGTAGTTCAATCCTCAATCTACTGCTGGATAATTAAATATATAATAACATTGTTTTTACACTCCATTATTTTCTATAATACAGAAACAATATTCAGTAGCAGCTAAAATAAATTGATGCCCAAGATATGACCCTATTACTTTTTGAGTTCAAAAAAATTATTATAAAAGAATATATATATATATATATATATAGGAAAGAGAATTTAATTCATTCCTCTCTTGTAAACAAGTTACATTCTTCAAAAATAAAATAAAACAAAACAAATCTAAACAAAACAAACCACAGCTATGTAGCCATCTCACTTTGATTCAGGATTCTTCGAACCCAAAGCCACGGTCTATTCTGTTGAAATGTGAAGCGAAAGAAGAAGACGATGAAGGGCATTGTTTGCTCTTTGTGTGTTTGTGAAGAACAAAAGATCAATACACTCAGCAATTTCTCTCGGGCTCTTTGTTTAAGTATGGTCGATGTTGGTGTTTCAGCTTGAGGTTCTCCTCAGAACCAGTGCCAACTGAAAGAGCGTGATGGTCGCAAGGTGAATGTCTGGCACGCTTGATGGCGATCCTCTCAGTACCTGCTTCAGAAAAAGCTTTCAACTAACTATCAGTTTATTTTAAGTGAGTACATGGTCACAAGAGGGAGCATCGTGGATTCCACTGCATAAGTGAAACAGCGAAATCTAGACTTAGTAGCATTGTAGATTAGGCCATCCTGACAGTACTAGCTTCTACATTTTAATGCTTGGGGTTAGATCTGTATGTTGGTTGCATCCATTTGCTGTCTTCATCAACGTGAAGCGTAATTTTGTCTTGGTACAATCGTCATTCCCATCGTTATCGAACTCTGAGTTGGATCAGCATCAATCAGTCTCATGGCAATATGTCAATTTTGTTTGGACATGAATTGCCGGAATTCAAATGTTTGTTGGTCACAGCTTTCTGATGCATATGATTTGTTTAGGGACCAATACAGAAATTGAAACCCACCTAAAGTGACGGAGAAGGATATCTCTGAGGGACTTGGATGGACTCAATCTCGATTGGTATGAACCATTGACTTGCGTATCCGTGGGCTTTACATTACATGTGACAATAATGCAAAGTTTATTCGATTCCATAGATGGAACAGCAAACAACGCGCAAAACCAGAGTAGCCTTGATCTACTGCAGGGCAGTTTAGCTTGTCTCCAGCAGCACTTCTAATGCTCGATATTCCTAAACTGATTCTAGCAATTCTCTGAAAACCCCCTCGTACTCTGGGAGTAAAGCCGGTCAGCACACAAGGTCGAAATCATTACATCCTAACAGCGAGAGTGGACGTCTCATCAAAGCTGGATTGCTCCCCCACAATTATGTGTCGCTAGAAACGCATGTGATGATACAACCCACAAGTCTCTGCACACATCCTTTTCTGGGTCATTGGAGCTCACAAGTAGACCAATTCCTCCCTCGAAAACCGATCGAGATCCGATGGTGACTGCTAACTTAGGACTGAGATAGACGTCTGCAGAACTGTATCCTAGTGCACACCAAGTGCTTTTGACCCGAAGTTGGTGAATGCAGCATAACACGCATCCTTTAACAAAGCATTAAACCATGATCAGGAACAAGGCGAATGATTGAGAGATAGCAGACCATGGTCTCACTTAACAATGAACCAGAATTCTAGACGGATCTGCTTCAACAAAGATGACTACATGCGAACAGTTACACGGAATGGCTTCGAGCCTGCTCCTCTGCAGCGTCGAGGCAATACTGTAGCAATAGTGGCCCCGGATGAAGAATTTGACACTGGTCCAAACAGACGAAGAAGAAGTAGAACCGGTAACTCGACCGGTCTACTTCTACTTCACCTGGACTCCACCAACTGATCCGATTGCGGCGGGACTTTGGGGACTGAAGCTCTCCCGGAACTCTAGACATCCAATCGTGCCCGCCATGTTCGATCGCCGTCGTAATGCCCGGCAACCAGGCGTGCCATGAAGAAGGCGTCCTCGTGAGCTGTGAAGCTGCCTGGCATCCTGCGTGGCTTCGGGGTGCATGCAAAAACTACGTGAAATTCAAGACTCTGGCGTCTGAACTCTAGCAGAGAATAGCCCCTTTATACATCACTCGGCAGGAAAATATACCCACTTCTCAAGCGGTAAGGACTTCTAATGAAACCTTTGTGACCCAATTATATAATAAAGTTTCGCAAGTTCTTCGGTAAATCTGCTCCACCTAATTACGGCAACAGATTCTGACAGATGAGAATATACAATGGAAGTTTAGGGTTCCCAACTAAATTTTCTTCGTGCTGGTTAGCTGTTGGTCATGTTCCATGCTCTGTTTTCTGCTTCTCCCACCACCCAGCTACTTTTTCTAATAAAACTCAGAGTGGAAATACTTCCATTTATTCTAGTCCTTAGTGAACAGTGTTTTGGCATCATTCTCATCTTTGATCCCTCTCATTGATAAAGAACCTGAGGATTATTTCAAAGCTAAAAAAAGTAAAACAAAGTGGGTGATTTTCTACAGAATTAAATTTTGGTGCATCAGTTGTAATTATTCTTATGTATATATATGTATGTATATATAACAAAGTCTAAAAGTTGGTATGTATTGCGTGGTCTTAAATTATACATGTATGTTTATATATATATATATATATGTATGTATAATAATTCATATACATGTATATAATTCAAAACATGTTTTCTTTTCAAGCAAACATGTTTTGAATTATACCAAAATGATATTATCCTATTTCAATAAATAATATATGTATATAAATATATATATTTTTCAACATATATGCATGTAGATATATATATATATATATATATATATATATATTCACACACACATATGTTCATTAATCAATTGATAAAAAATATTTAAAAATCAATAATTAATAATACAAATATATTTTTAGTGATATGATTATTATATGCTTTATATCTAGTTTTTTGAACCTCTAAAGTTAGATGGAAATTTGCAAAACTTAAAATTAGCACACACAATTTTTTTTCAAACGTTGTAAACTTTCCAATATCCCATTACACTCCTTCATCCTCAATCAAACCACGTATAGAAATCAACAAAATTACTCACCACTCCACACAAAAATCCCTGATAAGAAAAAAGGAAACTCAAACACCACCCACCTAAAATTCACTTCATTATCACAGTCAAAGAAAAACCCCGACACAGATATTCCTTAAATTACCAACATAACTTTTATTTTGAGAAGTACACAAAACAAAGTATTACATTACCATCCAGACAGAGCCCATGCGGGTGTTGCCATATAGTCTTCAAAATAGCTAGATTTTATTGCATCGAGCACATCCACAACATCACTAGATCTACAAACCTCAATGGGTAGATGGAACTGGGGTTCACAAGCGCCGAAGAAATGGAAGGCAAGTAAGCAACGCGAGCGAGTGGTGGCGAGAATCAGATGCGGTGGAGGCGATGGAATCCATGCGGAGGGGGGGGGGGGGGATCCGAGCCCTTGCGACACTGAATTAGAAGGTCTAATCGACAGCGCCACCCACAATGGAAGGTTTTCATTCCGGGGACCTGAATTACCGGGTACTGAATGTGGCGCGATGCGAGGCCGCGATGGTGAGAGCCTCGCAGCGACAACGAGAGAGCTCTTCAATGCGGATGGGGTAACGACAGATCGCCGGGGGTTGCGTTTTCCACGGTGTCACGGATGCGGGACAAAAAATCAGTCACCGAAAACCCGAAGTTCACGGAATTGCCACATTCAAAGCCAAGGCCCGCCCTTAAAAAGTGGCGCCGGGCCTATTGTCTCGGAAGGGGGTGGGTGAGTTTCTAGTCCCTAGTTAGATTTGGAGTCAAGCGGTGGGCCGGCGGCTGCGGAGACGCCTCGGCGCACTGTTGTGGGGGAAAAACTTCCGTGAATCATGTTGTCAGTCTTCCGCCGAAGAACTGCACGGGTTACCCATTATCACCTTCTCGAGGCCCGGCGCGGCCGAATTCAAGTGGGTTCGATTCTGGGGTGCTTGTGGTGGCCGTTGTGAGTCCGATCCATGTCTGGTGGTGACAAGCGGTGTGTTGTACGGATTGCTGTTATTGTAGCCCCCTCGCAGTGTGAACATTAGCATAGAACTGTGGGTTGTGTGTGTGTGCGAGTGAATGTGTTTACCTGGACGGTTTATGTAGCCGATCGGCTGTCGATGCTAAATGAAATCTGGCGGAGCGAGTGTGTGACAATGCCTGAGTGGGTTTCTGTTTTTCTAGCTGAATGAGGGGGTTTAATGTAGTGTTTGGAATTGCTACGAGGTAGAACCAGGGACCTGGCGCATCAGTCTGTTGGTTTCCGGTGCACAATCCTCCCTGTGTGGCGATTACGCATTGATGTAGCGGAAACTGTGGGCCTCTAACAAGTGACATAATGTGGGGCATTCGCTATGGCAGAGTCGATCTTGCATGAGGCTGTTCCTGTGAACTGCATTGCGAATTGGAGTTGCGCGGGGGATGTGAGACTAGAGATAGTTGTTGAGTCGGAGTAGTTGTACGTGTTGGAACTCTCTTTGCTGGGCTCCATTGTCTTGAAAGTTGTGGCTAGTCGAGTAGATTATCTGCGAGTTGCATTCGTGACAAAATGGGTCGCGCTTGTTCGGTTCTCCTTATTGCCGCCCTTGTCTGTGCTTCTCAAGTGCTCTTCACGTCTGCAGCAGACGGAGGTATGGTCTCGTATGCTTCATCGCTCCTGTGCGATAACAGTTTGTTTTATTTTTCCGGACTTACATTTAAAGTGATCACAAGAACTTGTGCACAAGTGCGTATGCATCGGCCCCGTTCGAAATATTGAGGCGTGTTGTAGTGACACATTGTGTGTATCATTTAATACGTAGTTAGAATCACTAACGTTCGCACATGTGCTCAGTTTTTTAAAAATGAATTCTAATCAGAATAGCTGAATGTACTCCCGTAAAATTGTAGTATTTGTTACTGTAGTATTTCCGGATTTCTTGTGAAAATGTTGTGTAGGAAGCCTCCTCGATGAGATAAATAAGGTGCTGCTATTTGACTCCATGTGTCAATACTTGCGATGGTTTCGATGTCAGTTGCTAAAGATCTCAGGGAGTATCTGATCATGTTTCTCGTGACAGCAGCTCCTTTCGCGTTGCGTATTGCTTGTGGGTCGGACTCTGAATCATACTCCCCAGAAACCGGATATCTATGGTCAAAGGATATGAATTACACAGGTGGCAGCTCAGGAAACTTGACGACAGTCAGTCGGATAGCTTCACAGCTGAAAACCATCCGCTACTTTGGGATGCCGGATGGATCTGAAAACTGTTACAATTTATCCGTCCCGAATGGCCAGTATTTGATTAGGTACTTATTTTTACATTGTGAGATATTTAATGCATACATCCTTTAGCATAGCTACTCGGAATCTTTCTTGTTTTCGTTGGTTCATTTCATTGTCATTGAGGCAATTTGCCGCTGGAGTTTTCACAAATTTTGATTCAGAACCTTCTATTTCGGGGTGTTTAGGTTTCATTATAACTAGGTAATGGGAAGTGCTAATACGTTGCTGATGATTATTATACTTTGTTTGGAAATACATCTGTGTGAATACATTCACTGATTCTATTTGGTTTTTTCCAGGATGTATTTCAGCTTTGGTTTTAAGGACAATAGTGGGCGGGAACCCGAATTTGAGATATCTATGGAAGGGACATTGGTGTATTCACTGACCCGGGGGTGGAGCACCGTAGTGGACAACGAGTACGTAGATTCTCTAGTACACATAAACGATGGAGCAGCGACAATTTGTTTCCACAGTTCTGGACATGGGAGTCCAGTCATTGCGTCGATTGAAATACTGCAGATCAATGATGATGCATACAACATGGGAACACCTTCATCCAATTTCATTATGAGAACGGTGAAGCGAGTGACTGCAGGAGCTGAGAAGTCCGGGTATGGTTCAAGTTTGCAAGCCGACCCTTGGGGTGGTGATCGTTACTGGGCCACAGACACCACTCTTTTTACTCCAGGATCCTCCGTGAACTCGTTGCACACAAAATATAATATCTCCAAATTTAACAATCCGCCCAATATTTACCCTGAGGCCATATATCAGTCTGCTACCACGACTGGGCCCGAGAATAAGCTTTCCTACACCATCCCCGTGTTGCCCAATCAAAACTACTCCATCTGGTTGCACTTCGCAGAGATAGAGGACAGTGTCACAGCGCCTAATGAGCGAGTATTCAACGTGATGGCGAACGGGTTGCCTCTATTTCAAGTGGTAGACATTGTGAAAATGGCCGGGGGTGTGCGGACGGCCCTTGTATTGAACAAAACTGTGCTGGTGGAAGGAAAGACCCTGACGATCTCACTTGAGCCCTTGGCGGGCGAAATTTCCATTAACGCATTTGAGGTCTACCAGTTGATTCCTCGAGAACAGCCCACCTCCAGCGACAACGGTAGGATGAATTTTATTTGTAGTCAATCCTAGTGTTCATTTACCCATTTAGTTGAGCAATCACAACGCGCTTGCGGCTAACGTGGCTTCGACTTTCTCTTGCAACAGTGTGGGCACTTCAGAGCATGAAGCAGGGCTTGGAACTTCCTTCACGGGTGGGATGGAATGGAGACCCTTGCATTCCTCAATTGCATGCTTGGTATGGTGTCAACTGCGAATTCGACGCCGCAGTTGGTACCTGGTTCATCACTGGCCTGTAAGTGACCCATCATGATTGCAAAACTTGTATTAGGAAAAATACGCTGTACACCAGTTCAGTCTTGCATTTGTATGCTTCATGAATTTCTCGACTCTGAAAACTCTCATTTGATGGAATTGGAAAATTGCAGGGCTCTCGATAGTCAGGGTTTAAAGGGTCGGATCGACGACAGTATTGTGAATCTGCAGCGACTGCAATCATTGTGAGTAGCCAGGAGTTGAGCCTCAATTTGGTTTCATGGTTGTTGTTGATACCTCAAGTTCGTATGCTTCAGAGTCGTATTTGTGAAGCAATGTTTTTATTGAAAAGGGAATGATTCCGGAATTGGTCTATTTCTGATGCTTTTATTTTGGTAATGTGTAGAAATATGAGCAACAACGTGTTGACTGGAGTTATACCTGAATCTCTCGGCCACGTCTCTTCTTTAGTTACATTGTAAGTTTATCAATATACTGATTCCTACCAAGTCTGAGTATGAATGGAGCCGATACTCAGTATTCTTTTCGGATCGTTGCAACTTTATTTACAGACATTTTCCTGCATCCCCTCACCGCTCAACTTCATCAAATTTAGTATGAGCTAAGAGTGGACACTGAATTACACTAGCCGCTCTTGTTAGTTTGCAAACTTGGAATCATGATATCTACCTCTAGGAATTGTTACCTCATGCTTTAGGCTAATATGTGTCCTTACATCCCTGCATTGTCATGCTAATTGTAATGATAAATTATATTGGATTACAGGGACCTTTCATATAACCGACTGAACGGATCTATACCCGCAAGTCTTGGTCAGCTTCCCAAACTTCAAGAATTGTGAGTATTTTCCAACTCACGGGCCGCTGAAGAGCTAGTTCATGCTTTTGGGGTTCTTTGCTGTGAAATACTTCAATAGCACAGCCAAAAAAGATAAAAGCACTTCAATATGTTGTTGCGTTGTACGCATTGGATGTTTGCCTACCAGGATATTCTAACATCTTTAATAATTCCGGATGTCTGTTCCCTACTCATGCTTCGGCCGCGCTTGTGTTAGGTTGCTAAACGACAATCAGTTGGTTGGAGAGGTGCCGCCAGCCTTGGGAGCATTCCCCATCCGTGGTGGCGTGTTGAAGTAAGTAGCATTCATTGGGTTGCTTCGAAGTCTTTTGAAGATGCCTACCTTTAGACCAGCACATCATGCTTGTAATGACACAGCCATGCTTTCTAGTAATTGCTCTTATTGGTAACTCTTGCCTTGACCTTCAGTTTGTACTTACCAAAGAGTTTATTGTCGCTGCAGTCTGGCTAACAACGATGGACTTTGCGGCGTTGGACTGCGATCCTGCAATACTATGTCTCATAGGCAGAAGTCGGGCATCGTAATTGGGGTTATCATTGGATTTATGGTCCTCATTTTAGGTGGCTATCTGTGCTGGAAGAGGCGGATGAACATGCTTCGAGGAGCACAACGATTACGTAAGTCTAGCTCCTTTCCTTTCCTTGCTGTTGTTCTAGGTCCAATCAGTCCTGCTTTATGCAACTCAGTTTGCTCTGGTGCACCCATTTTTGTTTTGGAATTAGACGCTAGATGTCCAATGTTATTTGATACCAGCTCATGAGTGGCGTGTCCGTTTTGTGTATGCAGCCCGAGATGCACCGTATGCGAAAGCAAGGACAACCTTTGTGCGAGACGTGCAAATGGCGAGGAATACTTTAGCCAACCACTTCAGCAGGCCTTCTCCTTACTCGGAATCAACTCCATTGAATCCACACTAACCCTGCACACGACTGGGCTTTGATCTGCCCTTGGAAGTACTACCGAAACACACAGGGATTGGCTTCCAGACAATCATTTGATGGTCGAGCGCAGTCCGGAATTCGTGCATCATTGTGGGTGGTTGGAAAGCATCTATTTAACCAGCCCCCGCGACGCCCTCGTTTTGTGACAACGGGAGCCGCTCGAAGAGCGGTCAAGCGAGGAAGGCAACCATCAGAAGCTGAATTCTGTTTTTGGGGGCATTGAATGTCGTTGCGACATGTTTACTTGTAGCCGTATCCGAAAAGAAATGGGTAGACTTGTTTCCCGAGCAAGGAATCGGTCGATGTTGTACGCATAAATTGTTCGATAGACACTTTCGAAGCCATTCACGCTTCTTGAAAAAAATATAATCTAAACTGGGCTTCACTTAGACGGTGCTCATTGAAGCTGTTCATTTTCCATAAATCCAAGCTTCTCTCTTTTTGTCTGTATAATTGCGAGGTTGTGAGCTTCAAATCTGTGGTCTGAAGTGTTGGAGTTGCCCCCTAACCATCGCAGCCACCAGTCCTTTGCACTTTCTCATCAAACGGAGGGTGCTCAATGTGTCGCAGATGGTCGTTTACGGCGAGGTTGCGCCGCCCATCTCGCAGAATGAATTGTTGCGTTCGGACAGGACAAGAAGTAGAGGAGACTTGGTCAGAGATAAAGCATTCTTGGTTCTCTCCACTTGGCCCACTCTTGAAGTTTGATTCCCTTGACGATGATGGTTTGTCTGTGCTTAATAAATGTAGCGGCACTGTAGTGGCGCTGCCGGAAACGATGCGTTGCGAGTGAAATCACTTGGTCCATCTGCGAAGGCTGGAGACGCTGCGGTTTGTTAATGTACCATGGTGCTGTAACTCTCCACAGCTCTGGAGAAATAACAGGAACAGCAACGATGTATTAGAGGGCGGAAAACCGTGAAACAGTTTCGGAACGCTTCGTGTCAGTGGTCATTTGTTTCTTTCGTGTCAGTGTTTTGTCAATGTGCCGTGCCATGAAAGCGGTCGGCGTCCGAGAATCTGAACGATTGGTGCAGATGTCGTTCACTGTTGATCCGGAAAGGCCTTGTCAACCTTAAATGACTGAAATCTATCACAGTTTCCTATGCTGTGACTGATCTTCTGGCTGCATCAATTATTCACTTTTACTAATGTCCGAAAATAGTGTAAATCGGCCAGGTTGGTGGAATATTGCATGATTTGAGTTTATCGAAGCACATGGGACGATTCCCTGTGACCAGTCTGAGGTCCTTCATCGAAGCATATCATGCCGGTGCCGGCGTAATTCTGCACCGTAATTCTTCACAGTGCCAATTGTCGAATTGATGGCAATCCACCCTGGGCTGCCAAGTGCCTCGAAATTTTCTTCGTCACAGAAATAACATGCTTTTCGCAAACCGCCTTTCGATAATGCTTTGGGTCGGATCATCTCAAATCATTCGACCTTTTGGTGAACACTCAGGTCTAGTGACTCCTTGAGCTCCATTATCATTCAACACTCACTGAGTTCCTCTTTTCTCTCGATCTCTATCACTGTGCCAATTTGGGTGCCTGTCGTGTGGTCTGAAGCTTCCCTCTAGGGTCACAGTTCTTGTAACTCGTCGGCAAGGAAGGAGAGACTTAGCGAGATTAGCGTGCGCCAGCAATTAGGGCGAGGATGAACTGGCTAAGCAGAAACAATCCCTTTGAGGGTGGTCGAGACAATTATAACTATGGATCGTCGGGTTACGACGATGGAGACAGACACGATTATGGGTTCAATTCAACGCGTTACGGGGAACCTTATGCAGGCGGCAGCCATCCCTTGTCGATGCCTCCCCAAAGGTCTCTGGATTCTAATTACGGTTACGATGCAGCCTACAAAACCGGGTATTCAGACAGTTCGAGTCGTCCATTAGCAGATCTTGCACCATATGATCAACACCAGCGATATGAGCTGGAGCCGGCTCACGAGCGGTTCAACAATTACGCCGACCAGCCATCTTACTCGAGTGGGTATGACGATTACGGAGAGGAGCCATATCATGTTGATCGATACAAGAGCTACAAGGAGGGATATGACGATGAACCGGAGTTTTTGTTTCGTACCGCATCGAAGACCTACAATTTTAATGCATTGGAGACGACCCCCGTGACCGAGCCATCTTTTACAGCTGATGCGGAGGTGACGGAAGCCTCGGAGGAAGTCTTGGTGAGGATCCGCGGCGCTGTTGTGCACTTGGTTGACGACCAGAAGAGCCCGCTCCTGGGCGATGGAGACTTCTCGATAGTCTTGATTGAGCAAGCAGGGAACGGGCTCGTGACGTTTGTGAGAGTAGGAGACAAGCTGCGGTGGCCACTGACGAAAGATGAGCCTGCCGTGAAGCTGGATTCCAGCCACTACTACTTCACCATCCGCTTCCCACGCAAAGTCGATGAAATGGACACGGAGACGGCTCGTAGCGCGAGCCCAGAGGTTTTGAGCTATGGCGTCACATTTCCATTGGACGGACAAGAAGAGCAGCTGCGTGAGTTGGATGACATTCTGGAGACGTACAGCCGGTTTTTGAGCCCAAAGCTTGTCCAGGGCAACAAGGAGAGAGACGAATTTGATGGCGCTTTTGGATATGGCCATAGCCAGATACCCGATGCATTGAACACTTCAAGGAGCGAAGTCCTCTATAACAAACAAGAGAAGCAGGTACTATTCTTCCTCTCAACATATGTTGTTGTTACACAGTTTCAACGTCAACGACGTTGCTGAAACATGTAGTGTAAATTTTCTTGACTGACGCAGGATTCAAGCTCAGATTACTGGAGAATTATGGCTCCCAATGTTGACGACTACAATAGCGACCTGGCCAAAGCCTTTGCGATGGGCACTGGTAGTCTCATCAAGGGCATCTTTTGGTTGCGAGACTCGACAGTTGCAGGCCTCGAAAATGGTAGTTCATATATGAGGGAACACGTCAGATCTACTTCCAACCCTAGCACCATCAACCCACAAATCCTGGTCAACCTGAAGAGGTAGATTTCGAGAAGTCACGAGTCCTGCTGTTTCAAATTAAATTTGGTTGAAAGTTGGCTTCTGGTTCAATTCGACATTCATAAGATCTTTTTTCTCTAGGCGAGTAGATGTGAGTATGCCGAGCGCTTGGGTTATGCTGCAGGGTGAAAAACATGTCCATGGCTACGGAAACAGTGGCGAACAGCATACTTGAGGGGTTTGTGAGAGCGGCGAGCTTTTTCTCGAGTGCTCTGATAAGATCCGATATCGGCAAGAAGTTTTTCCAATTACTGCCCGGCGAAGTGGCTCTCGTCTCCATGGATGCTTTCGGTATGGTTTTAAGATTTCAACAATAGATGCTTCATGCTGAACGATCCACACGTGTAGGAGCTTCTGTTAATGTCATCACTTCAATTCGATCAATTCGCGTGTTTTCGTCACTTGCTTGAGATTCATGCTCATTCTAGTTCTCATGAGTTTACTTTAATCTGATGTTATCAACAATTGTCATTGATGTCCTCAGCGAAACTGTTTGATGCATTGGAAGCGGCGGGCTACGATGTCGCAGCGCAGACTAAAATGTTCACGCAGGACGTTGTTGCTCACAGGTTTTTGCATCGCGCGTTCCTTTTCAAATGAAAGTGAAACATATTTTGTCAATTAGCAGGCTTCCTGGCCACCGTATACCGAACTCAGCATCTGGTGAGTCGCTTGCTGACCACCTTGTTGTGTGGTCATGATTCAGATATGGTGAACAAGCAGGAGAAGTGACCGGCGATACCTTATCCACCGCGGGACATTTGTTTGCAACAGCGTGGACGGTGACCAAGGTCCGCAGCGCCTGGAATCCAACCAAGTTCAAGCCTACCAAGACAGGAATGCTCAAAGCGGCCGCGAAGGCAGTAATGCGGGGAGCAAAGGATTAGCAGATCGCACAGCGCGTGAAGCATTTTTGTCCTGGACACCCTTATCTTAACAACGGTGTAAATTATACGTAGGTCGTGGACAGAAGTACTTAAAATCTTACCTTTCTGATCACTTAGGAGCTGATTTCCTAACCAGAATCAACTAAGCTCTGCGGAAGGCATTGGATCACAAATTGTTGAACAGAGCAATGGTTTTGGTTAAAATCCTAGGCCATGATCGGCGCACCGTCGACTAGACTCGGCTGTCTGTAAAGCGCGATTTCTAAACTTAACCTGCAATCCTAATTACGCCAGCGGATGGCTGTAAGAGATTCTTATTGCTTTCTAAGGCATGTCACAACTGAATCCAGTAAGCCACAACAAGTCTAAAAGTGCCTGGTTAGAAGCTAACCAGTGAAACCAAGTTCTACCAATGTAATGCACCGATTCGAGCATTAACGCCGCGACGTTCCGGTCACCGCAGTCATGCATTCCGACACCTGCAGGATCAACACTCGAGGCTCGTGAAATTGACAATTGCACCAATACGACGTTTGTGTCCTGATTCTGGTTCGGTAGCAGCCACTTTGCAAACCACGTTGCGTGTATTCAACCGACGCACTCTTCTCAGCTACAATTAGAATCCCACACGAAATAGGCCAGATGAATGGATCAGCTCAAAATTAGGTCAAGAGCGTAGTACTTACTCACTTCGCACGGAGACGAGCGTGAAAACTGTTGCCGCAGCAACAAGCCCTAGAAATACAAACAAATCCAAAGCCCTAAGATAGTAATAAAGTAAACGTTGTGGATGAAAAAAGTACATAGAGATACTTTTTTCGTGACGTCGTGTTGATGCTGTTTAGATAGAATTGAATAAAGATAAGTAGAGAAAGAAAAAGTGAATAGAATATCACTTGTGAAACATTGTAAAATTCAAATACATATGAACTGGATTTAAAGTTATCCCTTGGTGTGCCATGTGGTTATGAAAACTTCAATGAGAAGTTGATTGGATTCAATAACTACTGTAGAAATATTTAACAAATTTGACATATGTTTTGCAAGCCTTACAATATTAAAGAAATTATTTTTGTTAATTCTTAATGTTTCAGTAATTTTGAAAGAGATGCTTTGAGTGCTTAAAATTTTCAATTAGTAATAGAAATACAAAAACCAATGTAATATGATTTAGGCTTCTTCTATCAAATAGAAAGGAAAAAAAAAAGAAAAAAAAAAAGAAAAAAGAAAATCTAACATTGTTAAAAAGGATAATGTTAAAATTAGAAATAATTTCAATATGTTTCTAAATATCTTCTAAAGAGTTAGCACAAACACACATATACAAAATCTTTTAAAAAAAAATGAATACTAAATTAAGAACCATTTTGGATCAAAATTTTTTATTATAATTAAAAATACTTCTTTATTAGGTATTAAAAGACAGCATGTGTTAAAATACTGGTGAAGAAAATATTGAAGTTTGAAAAAATATGTAATCCAAAGATTAATTAGTCTTGAATCAGAAATTTTTGTAGAATTAACTAGCATTGAGATTTTTAGATTTGTGTTCCTTAACTTGTATACAACTATTAACTTGTGTATAATTAACTTCTTCTTTTTTGATAAAATTTTCAGTGAAATTAAACTATGTTCAATATCAAAATTGATGAGAATTTAACATTAACTCACCAACAACAATGAAACTCTATCTTTGAAAAATCATTGAAAACTGATCTTGTATTTTTAAATCAAAAAAAGAAATTTACAAAGAGAGTTAAATTATTTACAAATGCATCGAAGTCCAAGGAAAATAATGTTTTTTTGTCTAGGAACTACTCCAGAAAGTGATATTCTATTTTGATTGAAAGAAAAAATAAAAAATAAACAATAAACAATTAAGACAAATAAAATTTCTTTACCATATGTTACAAATATTCTAACATTAAGGGCCTCCTTCTATATTGAATGGGAGGACAATGTTATTCTTAGACTTTGTTTGCACTCAATGATCCTTACAAGGCAAAGTCCACCCAATTTCAAAATTTGGACTTCCATGTGTAAGAGAGTGAAGCACTTTATGACTTTAGACCTACTTGTACAATATTAATTAAAAAGATGTATTTTTACCCTACTTATTTATGTAATTCACATATTATAATACATTTATGTTTTGAGTCATATATTTATCGACTTTGTAATTGGTAAGTAAGTTTTTCAAAAATCATTATGGATGAAGTTTTGAAAACTTCATTTATATGTAAATTTTGCAAAAATCATCCAATCTTTAAGTATGATATCATTTCAGAAATAACACTTAACAACAAAGAAAGTGATTATAATAAAGTTTTGTTTCAATTGAGGATGCAAAAAAATATTTGTACAAGTCTAGTAATTAATTTAAAAATATAGTTTGAACCTCAAAATCACACCAAAATATTAATTTGCCGTCTTTTTTTAGTATAAAATTAATTTTATTGATTTTAATTATTTGAAAAATCTTGTAAGATCTCCTTTAAAATTTTGATGATGAATATTCTTCAAATTTTTATTAGAATTTCTTTGTATAACAAACAGATTCTATTGATTTCAGTTGGAATCTTAAGTTAGTAAATCTTGAAATAATATCACAAGATGAGATTTAGGTAGAATTGGAAGAAGCTTATGGTAGTGAAGATGATAGAGTCTATAAAATTGGGAGATGATCTTTGGCAAAGACTCTATCTGTGTGTCATTGTAAGAAGGTAGATTTTGAAAAATATGGACCAACTAAATCACAATGTATGCAAACATCTATGACACCAAAGTGGTGGAAATTCATGGTAGATGATTTGTGAGAAAGAGATGTATATAAAAATCAACAACAAATTTAAGATAAATTGGAGCAATTATCACTAGACTTCAAAAAAGTGCATAATAATAAATATATATATATATATATATATATATACTCTAGTAAATTGAGTTATTTTTCCATGGGTCCATTAAACAAAAGAAACCATCCACAAAGATTTCTAATAGCACCACTAGATCAAATCATTTATCTAGCAATGTTGAAGTGATTTCCTAAAACTTTGCAAGGTATGAATGGTGAAGGTCTTCTCCTTCATAGTAGAATAATTACAACTTCAATTGATATATTCTAAAAAAATTACTTTAATTTAAAGATATTATATATGTAAATATAATAAATTAATTTTTATTTTTATTTTTCTGTATAAATTAATTACAAATATTTTTTGGCATTCTAATGCTTAGCAATGATATCTTTGTGAATTACAAATGGTAGTGAATCATCTATTGATTATTCCACCAAAAAATATCACTTATTAATGAAAGCTATAAATGGTGCATTAACTTATATGGATAAGATTAGGCTTGAATTTGTTCAAGCTATTAGTGGTGGGCGTGATTAAAAAAATATTTGATACAAGAAAATCATAAACTCAAATAAACAAAAGTTACAATCAAATGAATTGCACCATCTTGATATGATGAAAACTAAAACATATGAATTCTCTTCTCAATTTCAGTGATGCTATTAAAAAAATTACAAATGCCCTTCTAAATAGGCAATAGTTAGAGTCATCATCTATGACTTATTCATTATATGCATGTTCTAATATATTATAAAAATAAATAATAAATAATAAATAAAAATAAACCATTGAAAAATAAATATCATTTTATGTATCATTATTTTCTTGGTTATTTTTTGTTTTATTTTTGTTTTTATAATCTTAATTATTCATTTTTTAAAAAATTTACATTCATTTTTGGTTAATAACTATTTTTTTTTCTTTTTTTGTAAAAGTCATGCAATATGGACAATTCCAATATTAGAGTTGTAATTGCTGCTATAGAAATAACAACAACATCAATTGGAACTATGGTATAATTAACAACTCATAAATTTTTGAAATGAGTAAAACAAATAAAATACTAAGACTATCAACCTTGGCAATTTCAAAACACAAAATAAAAATTAAAGAAATTTTTTCTATCATTCATTAAGTTATAGAATATAAAAAAATATTCCAAGAAGTATCTGATCATAAGGTTGGTAAGAAGAATATATTAGAATTAAATTATAGTCTTTATTATATCAAGCCATATATAATTTACTAGTAGAAAAAATTCTAAATTTTAGTGATGCAAGAAAATCATAAATTCTTTTGTCAATTTTTTTGACTATATGTTCTAATGTTTTTATATGTTGTGATTTGGTATATGAAGAATTGAAGAAGAATCTTCTTTCTAGGCTGATGAATATAACAAAGCAATTGATGAGTGTACTTAAACAAGTTACCATTGTATTGAAAATACTTGGAATTAGAGACATTCTATAATTCTATAATTCATAATTCTATAAGTAAACCTTTTGGCGTAGATGACTTAATAAACATCAAAGTTTGTAAATAATTTATTATTACTTTAATCAATATTTCTTTGTCATTATATTTAAAATGGCCAAAAAAAAAATCTTTATCAAAAATAAAACTTGATTTAAAAATATCTATGGCATACCACAATATTGTCATGCTATTCATTAAAAGAATTCAAACTTAAGGTTTTTGGATGATACTTCATCTACAGTGATATCTCAAAGTATTATATAATATTTTGAAATATCATTTAATATTTCAAAATCACCCACCTTACAAGGTGGATAATTTTGAAATCCAAATATAAAAAAAAAGACAGGTGAAATATCACAAACTTTCTTATTTGTCTTAATTGTATTTTTTCTACCTTAAGTGCCTTGACTTTTTTAAATCACCAAAATATCAAGTAATACTTTAAAAACTTGAAGGAGATAATAAAGTTTAAATGATGATATTTGAAGAGGTGATATTTTGAGTGATTGATTATATTTGGGTTTTTAAAAACCAAAAACATGTGATATTGATTACCCAAAAATATTAAGTCTAAATCCCCTCATTGTTGTCATATCTGATTTGATCTACTTACAAGATCTAAATCAACAAATTGGCATGATATTGATCATAACTATTCTACAATAGTTTAAGCAATTGTAAATCATTAAGCCTAATTTATAGATGTTTTGTATGCATTCTTTGATCAATATATTATTCTTGTATACTTCTAATGTCAAATCACTTCAATGATGTGATTGTAAGAAGAAGATTGAATGAAGTAATGATAAAAATTAAAGGTGTTGATATTTATTAGTTAATTATAGCTAATATATGATATATTGGTGATAAAAAATTATTTGTGTATTAGCTTAGAATCCAACTTCCTAGACTATATGATGAATTTAACTTTAAACACTCATCAACTTATATAGTAGTTGAGTGTTTATTTGGAATTTAAAAAAGAATATGGAAGATCTTAAAAAATCCTATTATATATGTTCATTTGAAAAGAATTCATGGCTTGCAATTGGCCCATTTTTTGCTTCATGATATTGTTATTGAAGAAAATCATCTTATTGATGAGTCTATTATTCTTTAGATACACCATGACTTAGAATATATACAACAAGTAGTGAAAAATATACCCCAAAGTAATAGTGAATAATTACAAATAGCAATTTTAAGATATTTTTATTGATTAGAAGTATTTCACTTCAATGAATAAAGTTTGATAGAACCTAACATTGCTTGAGGTTCAAACTTCATTCTTTAAATTGATCCTTGGACTTACAAAAATGTATTTTTTTTTTTTTGCATCTTCAATTAAAATAAAATCTCATAATGATCACGTTCTTTATTGTTAAGTACCATTTCC